CCCCAAAACCCCAAAACCCCATTAATCTAAAATAAAGGAGAAATTATATCAGAAATCATAAAAGAATCTTTCAAAGATTAAATCTAATTTTAATCAATATAAAAACCTTGTCAAATCTAAGTTTTATAATTATCATTTCTTTATTCAGTGAAATCTTATATGATCGCCAGCAAAAACTTGTTCTTCATAATGTTTTTATTCTTTGGAATGTTTGATTTTTATAGCTAAAACAACAAGACACTGCTCAGATTAAGTAAGACTGATAAATTAATGAAATTCTAGATAAATCGAGGAATATAATAGATAATTCTGATAGATAAAATATGTAAAGGGAATTGAAGTAATCAAATACTGATACTATATATTTGTAAGATATTTTATATCATTAAAAATAGATTTGACGAAGAAAATCTCGAAACATTGTCTAATCAGCCTTCAAAAATTAAAACTTAAAAGAATGAGAAGGTGAACCACTCTAGAATTTTATCAGGATCTAGCATAATATACTCAGCAATATTTACTATCAATAATACGATGGTAAATGAGATATCTTCTATAACAGTTGAAGTAAATTTGAATGATTATCTAAAAGATGAAACTCAAGTCAAGATTGAAATACCTTTTTTGATTCTAGCGGATACTTACAATTGCACTTTTTCGCAAGATGGTGATAGCAATCAGGCAACACTTTGTACTAGAAAAGGTGAATTTGTCCTTTTTAAATTCTAGAATGATAAATAATAGAGTACGTAATGCAAAAGGTTCTAGATAATAATTTAGGATTCTATTTAAAATCCTAATGATGAATAAGCTTACCCTTAATAAAGTATTGAGTTATATTCTAGACTAAATGATCAGTATGTTTTTGCTGGGTCTTATAGAGAAACTAAGAAAAAATACGTATCTCCCATTTAAATGCCTGTAAACTAGTTACAGATGTCCATAACATTTACTTAGAAAGAATTTTAACCAATCTTAATTCAACTTCAATCAGTTATTGAAATGCCTAAAGAGCTAATCATAGAGATAAACTTCCCTGAAGGCTTTATTCTAGACAATTAAACTATAAAAATTAAGGACTTTAACATTTCACAAGTGATTAAATAAGATAGTTTAGTTTCAATCAGAGGATAAATGAAAGATTTACTATTAAAAAATCAGTTAATTAATTTGCTTATTGAGAAAGGAAGAGTACCAAGATTCAATTTGAATAATGATAAACAGCAAATCACGATAAATTTCAGATTGCTCAATTTGGTATCAAAACAGAGAGCTTATGTTGATATCAGGAAATTCATTAAGACATCTAATATTCCTTACTAGTAATTTAATTTTCTTGATAACTAAAACTACATTCTATCCTAGTTCATTGTTTCAATCATACCTATTCAGTTTAATAACTAAGAAGACAAACTCTAAATTGATTTCCCAAAAGATGTTAAAATAGAGTCAAATCTGATAAATTGCTAATCTAATCTCGGTATAATTATAGATTGCACTGTTTTAAGAAATCAGTAACTAACTATAGAATTGAAAAACATGAGCTAAGCTTAATCTTAAATTTTCTCAATATATGTTGAAGGAATTAGAACTCCAATCAGCTCTAAGCCGATTTCTTAGATATAGATTAAGCAACTTGACTATATGTTTAGAGAGGTAGGAGTATCAGAAAACGTTAACGTTACAATATTTAAGAATTCAACACCTATCTTTCCAGATGTATAAGTATACGGTAATACATTAGATTATGGTTCGGAAAACTAAATTACTTTTGAATCTCATAATCTACCAAAATTTGAGCAGGATGTATATTTAGTCCTAAGCATACCACTGGATATAAAGGTTAAGTCTTAATTTCTATAAGTTGTAAATAAAGATGACTAAACTTAACTTCAAAATTACTTGATAGGATAAAATATATATCTTATTCCAAATTTCAGGTAGTTTCCTATTTAGATTTCAACCATTATGAATCCAACTGAGATGATTTACGAATCTTTCAATGTAACTTTGTTTGAAGATTAAGATTTGTAATTCGTTATTGCTGCTCAAGACTCAATGATAATATTATCACTGGATTGTTTAGATAAGTGCTAGTAGTGTGATATTTTAAATCCAAATATTTGCTTTAGATGCTTTAATGGATTTTTCCTTTAGAATGGAGTGTGCTAATAAGAATGCGAATTATCTTACTTTAAAAAAGAAGGAAAATGTAATAAATGTAAGCAAAAATGTAGTTCTTGCATAAGTCTGAGTTAATGCCTCTCTTGTTCAAACCCATTTTACTTATTTGGTTTTGAATGTTAAGAAAAGTGTCCAGATAATACATTCCAAAACAATATTACTAGAGAATGCTAAAATTGTCCGGAAGCTTGTTCAAAATGTTCAGAAAACTAATTTTGTAATGTATGCAATGAAGGATATTTTAATTTTGAGGGAAAGTGCTAAAAATGCTCATCCAATAGCTTTACTATTGTTGATGGAATATGCATAAGAATAAACTAGCAAGAAATATTGGATTATGACTTTATAAAACTGTATACTTCCTTATTACTTTTGATTTCATTAACTATAAGTATGAGCTTACTGCTTTAATACTTGCAGAAGAAAAAATATATAAATTTCATTATTGGATATCTTAAGCTTAGTTCTATAGTATTCCAATGCGGCAATATACTTCTAATTTTATTCATGTTCTAGGCTTCCAATTCAAAGTTCTAAAATTGCTTAGTCTTGACTCTTTATATTTTCAGAGTTATAAACAGGGCTTCTATTCCTCTCTTACTAGAAATAGAAGGAATATCAAGAGAAATCTAATCTTAAGAAATTATAAGAAAAATAGAATAATTCAAGATTAAAATTAAGTAAAACTAGAAGCTTCATATCTTTTTGAGTGTTCTTATAAGCCTTATCGATTCAAATATGGTAGATATGTATGGGCTTGAGTTGTAGGTAATAAGGGAGAATTTAGTACAAAGCGAACTACCAATTTTTTACTACAACATATTGTAAATATAGAATATGAAGTTCAATATAATAGTAAATACTTTATTGACAATAATATTTGATATCTTTGTTATAATACCTGGTACATTAATGGGACTTCAGAGCTTGATATCTTTTAGCTAAATTCACAGAATTATTGCAATTTTTAACATTTACTCTAACATCATAGAAATTTGCATGTTATTACATAATAAAAGAAAATTTCAACTGCTTATTTCCGTAATGAATTCATAGCAAAGTAATCATCCATTTGACTAAAATGAAAGCTAATATCTTTAATCTAATCCCCTTAGTAATAATTCGAGAGTAAATGAAGTGATGGATTAATAATCAGAAAATGAGTAATCAATAAGAGTGCAAAGTTAAATTCTAAGAAGTGTAAGAGTTGGTGAAGAATAATATTAATCATATTCTTGATTGTAATAGTCAAACTAAGTTTAAATTTCTATTAAATTCTAATATTTAAATCAAATATTTTAGTATGGGGTTTTGGGGTTTTGGGGTTTTGGGGTTTTGGGG